CTCACAAACCACAATCACGTTGATAAACTTAGGAGTTTCCCGTTATTTCAGAGGAGGATGTTGTTCGACCGTTGTTATCCCACTGAGGAATGACTCGTAATGTGCACGCCCTCACTAAACATCCATCACCTCTATCATTCTTTAATGCAACATTTAACTTTGGTATTTGAGTGGAAGAAGGCTGCAGTCACAATAGGAAAGTACAAAGATCAAAATATGAATTTGATTATTCATTATAGTGTAAACTACTGACTTCCAAAAATATTTTTAATTTTTGTCGAAACTGATCAGTACAACCCTCACTGGCTCTTCAAATATACACTATTTCAGCTGAATTGAATGTGAAAGGACAAATTGTTTGCAAGTAAAATGTTGATGTTATTCAGGTTGCATGATTAAAGTATTCAAAACCAAACTACTTTTTTTTGTACATTAGGGCATTGTTTTTTTTTTATCGTTAATTTTCATTTTCATCTGATCCTGGCTTGTTAGCACTTTGGAAACCGTCTTTGCATGAAATGTGCTATTTGAGTAAAATGAATATCATTTGTAAACTGCAGGTCAGATGGAAGCAGCTAAAGTTTCTTATCTACAACACTGTATATTGTAAATGTGTTTCCTTTCTTTCATCTTTTGCGTTTTGTTTGTGAATTTCTGGAACATTTTACATTTTCAGGTCCCTAAAAACATTATAAGAAGGAAGGAAAACATGTCATTTAACTTAACAGAGTACCATTCACAAATATGTAACTGGTAGGTGAAGCTTCGGGGTCACAGTCCAATAGGTTGTGAATCAAGAGCACTAATGTTCCAGATGGAAAGTCCTCAGGAATGTACTCTGAGTAGCTACTCAGAGTGTTGTTAAGGATGTCTAATTAACAGTAGCAGTCAGGTCTGAGACACTATTCTCCTGTGTCTCTTTTTGTCTGGCGTCTTTCCCTGCTAACACACAGAAGGCAGTCTCCTGTTTTTAGATGACACGTGCACCTCACTGCGTCAGCTCTTGGCCTCTGGATGGCACTGCCTGTGATGCTGTCAGCAGAACAGGGCAGATAACTCATCACCTCAGAGCTCTAATAATGTACAATTATTTCCACTTCTACTAAATTTACATTTAATTCATTTCAGAGACTGGTTTCTTTCATGACTGACCTGCGAGGAGCCGACAGCTTGTTGCAGAAGGCCATAAAGAAAGTGGATGGCAGTAAGAACTTAGACACAGCACAGGTAGGATATACAAGGTCACAGTGTGAAGTAATGTTGTTAGTGCACCGCACATTTCCAAATAGCTCATACTGTAGGTGTTGACTTTGCTTTTGGTTTGGCTGCTACAGGAAGTGCAGCAATGCATTCAGGAACAGAGGGCCTCAATGAAAGAGGTGCTGGAAGACACTCGAATGTTGACCCTGCAAAGAGAAGGGGGGGCCATTCTAGCCAGAATGAGGAGGGAGGAGTTCAGGTTTCCCCAGTCTGAGGACTACAGGTATCAGATCATATTTACATTTATTTATTGTTAGATGTTTGTGCCAGGCAGAACACATAGATAAATGGCCTTGCTGTTGTTTTTTTGTTTTTTTAAAATAATATGCTTATTGGGATTTTACAAAAGGATTAAATCACATTATAAATTCCACTTTGAACATTTGAAATGAATCCCTAAACCCCTGCAATCTTACAGAAAGTGAGATAAATTAGAGACAACAATGTAAAGAAAGGTACACATACTAATACTAGGAACAACAACATAGAGGTGATCATAATAATAATAATCCACTGAACCAGCAGTTGTACTTTAACACTTAAGAAATAGTTCACTTTCAAATGTAGTGCTATAATGACTATTTACCAATTAAAGCATCAGCTACAGATTTACAGATATATTATTTATACTAGGCTTTTTTGTAATAACAGCAGTATTCCTCTTTCATTTATACAGGCTATAAGCAAGTGAAAAACAGGTATGAAATACTATATGACAGTAAAAAAAGAATAAAGTTTAAAAGAGTGATTTGTAAAATATCCATAAAGAAAAAGTAAATCTGTTTACAGTTCTGTTTCAAATGGGTGTTGAGAGAGGTATCCATAGATCTCTTCATGTTGCTCTCAAAGTGCAACAGATTGATGCATTTAACTTCAATATTTAAAAATAAATCTTCCCGGGGGAGCTTGCCCCTGGACCCCCTTATGTAAGGTCCACACACCACCTATAAAAATAGAACTTTACCCCTGCTTACACCTGTATGCCGTGAGCTGATTATCGAGCCTTCATTGTAACTGTCGCGGGTACGTTGTGTAACTTTCGCGGGTACGTTGTGGGAATTGTTGCAGTAGAACATTCCACTGTAGCGACTGGTACGGGAAATCCTAAATGTTTGAGCACCCTCTATGAAACGTCAAGCTACCCCACAGCACCCCCAAAATAAATCTCTGGCGCCGCCACTGAGCGTGACTATTTGTGCTGGGGGAGCCCGACTTTTTTTTTTTCTTCTCCTGACAGAAAAAGTTTGCGAACCACAGAGTTACAGTAAGACTCTTACTGTAGATCATCAATTGCTGCTTTAGCCCATTAATAAACTTGAAATAACAAATGATACTAAATAACCCAGTTAAGTGTGATTTGCCTCATAGTTTTTTTTTATTGTTTATTCACTGTCCTTGCAGAGATGCTCTGGAGTCTGTGACTATTCTGTATAACCAGGTGGAGGAGAAGCTCCACACCCTGGTGATGAGATCGAACGAGTCACTGCAGCAGCTGGAGCTCCTCTTCAGGCTCAGAGAGACAGAGGCCAACATTAGCACGGTAATACAAGTTCTATCACCAGGTTCACAACAATTAAAATCTTCAATATGTGAGGAAACCTTTACTAATGAAGTGTTTCTATGAAGAGAGATTCAAGTTTGTCTCCTTTTGCTCTCATTAATGTAACTGTTTCTCTGTAATAACAAGCCTAAGGCTACACTCACAGTGCCAAGTTAACTGTAACATTGTGTAATCCTACATTACATATTGCAGGCTGGGATATGGTTCAATGCAGAAGGCGAGCAGAGGCTGAAGAACTCTTACACAACAAATGAGTCCCTGATGTGCACTGAAGAGGCCTTGCAGCACTTTGATGTGTTTCACGCAGAGTCTAAGGTATTACAGCAATATAACAACATTTTTTAAATCGCCTTTATTTGGCTGTCTATGTTAGTTTTTACATACCAAAGGTTTTTCTTTCTTTTTATTCTTTCCAAAAATTGTAATTACTTCACTGTTAACATTAAAGGACTCCCATAGATGTGGGAAAGGGGAAATCAACCTTCCACTTGACATCTTATTATTTGTTACAGGAGAAACAACAATGCGCCTTGACCCTGGTGACGGAGGCAGAGGGACTCGTTGGGGCGAGTGAGTCCAGTCCTGCATCAGAAGTTTTTCGGACTTTGCTCAGCACTTTCAAATCCAATGTGGATGATTTTATGGTGCGGGCAGAACAGAGGCACAAAGAACTGAACACACTGGTGCATGTGCACCGCTTCTGTGACCAGGTTTGTCATCTTCCATCTGACATTTCAAATTAAATTGTCCTTTTTCTTCACTTGCCGTTTGCCAACATATGATTTTTGTTAACTTTAAAATTCCCTTTTTCTTTGTTTCATTCTAGGCGTCTGCTTTGGCCAAGGAATGCAGTCATTTTCTGGAGCAGGTAGAGCCAGGGTGTTACTCAGCTCAGACCCTGAGAACACTCCAAATGTATGTAGAGAGATTAGGTGGCGAATTCTCCACCCTGCATTTCCAGGCTGTGAAAGCTAAGGCCTGTGCTGTGGGATCAGGGGCCTCGGGGCTGATGAAAGTGTGGAATGCCGCCTTGGTTCAGTGCCAAGAACTTAGGCAGCGTCTTGAGGAGAGGGAAAAGAAGAAGAATGGCGTAGATAAGAACCAGATCCAGCAGACCACAGCTGCAAACCCTCAAGAGGTATATGGAGGAGTAGAGAAGGAGGAGAAAAGGAGCGAGTTGGGGGAGGACGAATGCTCCCTGAGACAGCAGCCAACCCCTCAGAAAGAGGTCGTCAATATCTCAAAAAGTGAAGGAGATAGCACCACTGCTGCATGCCTCAACTACGATTTAAAACAGGACTTGAAAGATGGTGAGGGAGGAGAATCCCAAGCACATAAATTACACGGAGAAGAAGTTAAAATCAAAAACAATTCTCCAGTTTTTCCACAAAACGGCCAATTTCCTCCAGAAACCAAACAAATGTTGAGAACACATCACAGTGAGGAAGATCTGAGGAGAACAGACTCAATTAATGAGGGCGATGATCTCCCATTGCACCAACCTTTGGGTCGGTCCCTGAGCGAGGGCTCATGTGCGAGCTCTCATTTGACAAGCATCGTTGGCCTTTCACCTTTAAATGTGAGACACAAACACTGTCAGCCACTGGAACCAAATCTGCAGACCGTCCAAAATCTGCCCGTTTCCCATAACGAGAGTTTACGGTCAGGAAACCTGAGCTGCGAGTCAAAAACAGACAGTAATGAAGAGGAGGGTGGAGGATGCTCGGCCTCTACACAGAGCCCTAAGGATTTAAAGACCCCAGAGACATTACTCACACCAACAGAAAACAATGGCAGCAATGTTTTGTAAGTAAACCCCCCTGCCTCAGCTGTAATTTAAATCTCAGTGAGATGCTGTACATGAGGAAATGGATATATAGGTTATATTCATGAATGGCTCAGTTGTTCTGTAGTTGCAACACTGTCACACCCGCACAAATACATCATACTGATCCCAAGCTCACCTGGGTTACATTATGAGCTTCACATTCACACTTTCCATTCCCTGTATGCGGAACAGGAAACTGCGGAGGATCATGGAGGAGCTGCTGTCCACAGAGAGGGAGTACGTCAAGGCCCTGTGTTATGTTCGAGATCACTACTTCCCCGAGCTGGAGAGGCCCGACGTCCCTCAGGACCTCCGAGGCCAGAGGGGGAGCATCTTCGGCAACTTAGAAAAACTCCACGACTTCCACCGGCATCACTTCCTGAAAGAGTTGGAGAGCTGCTTGGATGAACCATTCAGAGTGGGACGCTGCTTCTTACGACATGTATGTGTAATATTAAAAGTGAAAAGAAGTATTACAAATGAATTATAGCCTGCAAGTTCGGTAAGACCTGGGTTATTGTTGTTTTCATCACGAAACTATGTCAAGGCAGATGTGAGACGTTAATGTCGAGAAGTCGTCCATGGTTTCCTGTTTTGAGCCAAAACCATAACAATTAAGCATAATCGTTTGCCAACAAAAGCCCTGCCAGATGTGTCCTGATTGTAGAACAATGCAATGTCTTTATTTCCAATTTAACAACTGTTTATTCAACACATTTATTGGAATTGAGAAGTAGAAACGACACACATGTGAACTGCTCTTATACACTGTTTAGTCTGCAGTTTGACGTGTTCGTATTCTTTTGTTGCCGATGATGAAGATGACTAACGTTCTTTCTTTTTCATCTGTTTTTTTTAGAGAGAAAGCTTTGCTTTGTATGCTCTTTACAGCAAGAACAAACCACAGTCTGATTGTCTTCTCATTAATCATGGACAGTGCTTCTTCAAGGTGAGAAGCACTGCCATCGTCTCTTTGCTCTTCATTCCTATTCCCATTTTCTTCTCAAAACCACGTCCTCACTTTTCTTTAAGAAAACTGGAGATAATTATGTGTTAAGAATCGACTAGCTGCTATGTGAGCTTGTACTTAGACCAAGCAGTTCTTTGAGTTACTTTTAATGTTGAGATTTATAATGCAGAAAAATATAAATCAACTAATATATTACAATGTTTTGTCATGGATTAGAATACACCCCAGTACACAGTCTTTTAACTCAAACAAAGTACTTTATAAAGTATTCTGAAATTGCCCAGTTGGTATAATGATTTACTTTTTGATTCTTAAGAAAGATGTATACTTAAGGACTTTTACTTGACACTGAGAACTTCTACACCGTGGTATTGCTACTTTTACTTGTGAAAAAAATATTAGTACTTATACCACTTCTGAGCCAAACTGATAGCATTGCTGATAAAAATAAGTGACTTTCTAAGAATGGGGGCGCGGCTCTTTACACTAAGTCATGATGGATATCTGTCTTATCATTAAAGTGTTCTCCAAATAGACTTCACCATTATTCTAATAATTTACTAGTACATTTCTAGCGCTGCTGGACAATAATGAAGCGTTGTCTCCTCTCCTCGTACGGCAGCAAAAGCAGCTGAAGCTGGGGGATAAGATGGACCTGTGGTCGTACCTGCTGAAGCCTGTGCAGCGGATCAGTAAGTACAGCCTGTTGCTGCAGGACATGATGAGGGAGTGCGGTCCGGGACAAACCAGAGAGATGGCTGAGGTCAAGGCCGCCCTGGAGGTCGTCCACTTCCAACTTCGCCATGGCAACAACCTGCTGGCAATGGACGCCATCCACCACTGCGACGTAAGATAATAATAATAATAATAATAATAATAGTAACAATAATAATAGATTACATTTGTATAGCGCCTTTCAAGGGACCCAAGGCTGCTTTACATGGTGAATAAACAAACAAACAAACAAACAAAAGGGGCAAATAAATAAGTACAAATTAAATAAATAGCAATGAGAGTGGAAGCAGGGGGACTGTGATGGGTTAGGGGTCAAAGGCCATGGTGAACAGGTGAGTTTTTAATGAAGATAGGCAGCTCGTTCCTTTAAAATGTTTGGTTGTATTGTAAACCGAAAAATAAAGAAAGACCATAAGAAGGGGAGGTCTTCATGTCCTGTATACATTACATACCTATATAGTTATGCTCTATAGATATATAGTATACTGTGATAAGAATGACTTATCACCCTCCAGCAGTGAGCAGTGAGCAGTGATCATTGAAATCTCCACTTTGATGGGGAAAGCATAGTTGGCAGACAGGTACAGACAAAGCAAGATGACAGCATTCATCCATTACAGTTATTTGTAAGTGAGGGGAAGGAGTACAGTTTTCCAAAACATTCATCATTGTGGATTTGTGCAATACAGGTCAACAGGGATTGATGTGGGTGGAAGAAATAAAATGGGTTAATTATAGAGAAAGAATTATAGTTTCATAATCTTTCCATGGAATGTGAAGGGAGATGCTATGTGCTTGGGATGTGCTCCATTACCAAAAGAGCAGATTCATAGGAATTGTGTTGGTTAGCTTATAAAGGTTATTGTCTCTGTACATTGTCCCAAAATACTTTGTAGTGATTTTAACTGAAATTGCCTAAGGCATTTATATTAAATGCGTATGTCCTCATCAGCTAAATTTAAAAACAAAATAATCATTTTTGGGAGAAAAGGCTGATAGTACATCATATTGATAAATAATTTGTAGAGTTGAAGTTGGTATTTTCTATTTATCTTTGCTGAATACCATACATAACCCCCGATAATCTCTTTTTTGTGTGTACTGCAGGTTAATCTGAAGGAGCAGGGGCAACTGATACGGCAGGATGAGTTCTTGGTCACATTCAGGAAGAAAAAATGTTTACGCCACATTTTTCTCTTTCAAGAACTGATTCTTTTTAGCAAAACCAGGAAGACGGATGTAGGAAATGATACATATATCTACAAACAGTCATTCAAGGTACACTTTTTGTTGAACACACACAACTTGATGTAAGGTCTAAATGTGTTAATGTAAACCAGAAGTAGTAAATTAAGCAATAACAGTTTCAGATCTACTACTACTTCCTCTTTTGTTGGAAAAGGATAACTCCCTAAATGTGTGTGCATGCTGCATGACAATTACAACTCTCTTGCAACACACCTACTCATTATTTGCAGACGTCATTCTTTGAGAAAAACTCCAAATGACCTGAGGCCTGGACATAAAAAATTGGCTTTGAACGTTGTCCCATTTAGAGCATCGCGTTAGAAATAATATCTCAAAGAACATTTGGATACTGTACTAGAATGTTAATTAGAGAAAAGAAAACATTGCAGTACATAAAATATAATTGAAATTCATGGATTTAAATTGTATATATTTCACCTAATATTTAAGTACTTTAACAAGAGAGCAAACATTAGACCAGTGGTTCTCAAACTTTTTCTGTCAGGCCCCCCCTTTGGAGAAAAAAAAAAGTCGGGCCCCCCCAACACAAATAGTCAGGCTCAGTGGCGGCGGCAGAGATTTTTTTTGGGGGGGCTGTGGGGTAGCTTG